CTCCCAGGGGAGCGAGGTGAATGTGTTACAGATAGGGAGACTCACCGGCACACAGAGAGGACAGAAGCATAAGCTGTGTTGCATGCATATGGTGAGACAAACGCAAAGGAAAGTTGAGAGAGCCTTTGATAATGTCTCAGCCTATAAAGCTGTTAGAATAACTGCTGCAGGCTGGGTGGCTTATAAAAAACACAAAACTGGAACTGCTAAGAAGGCCTAGAGAGTTAAGGCACTTGCTGCCAAGTTTGACAGCCAGAGTTTGATCCCTAGGACCTACATAGTGGAAAAAGATAACTTGAAAACACACACACACACATACTACATGTGATTTAAAAAGGTACAAATTTATGATAGTTCTGAAGGCTGAGAAGTTCAAGATCAAGCAGACAGTCTGGTAAAGGACTCAGTCTGGTTCTGAGCCGGTTTATGGGCTCACAGACAGTATCCTCTCACCCTGTCCCACCATGGTGAAAGGCCCACCTGAGGAGGTCTCATAAAATCAAGCTAAATGCCATTTATGAGGGTTCCATCACTGCGTTACCATGATCTGAACAGCTCTCAAAGCTCCCGTTTCCCGTGTGCTGACATTGAGGGCAAAGATTCAAACTTGTAAACTTAGGAAGGCATACACACTTCCAAACCATAGCATGGGCTGAGACAGCTCCCATTCCTTCCAAATAACCCTCTGTTCCACAGCAGTGTTTCAGTAGACTCCTTGGTCCTTTCACACCACGGAGTGTCTGCATACCCACTTGTGAGGAGTTTGTGAGGGTTCTAGGGTCAGTTAATACAAGAGGTTTTTGTTTGTATGAGAACAGATAGATGACAGCTGGTCTTGGGCAAACCAGAATGTTTGGGCAATCCTAATTTTGAAGGGGAGGCCTTGCTAAATGCAGGGCACTGTGATGGGGGTTAACTCAGTTATTTATTAATTAGCACAGTACCTCCAGCAAGCCGTGATGTTAATCCTACTTACAGACAACCAACAACAGAACTGGCATCCTTTTGCGTATTCTAACCCCAAAGACTGCCCCTCCCACCTTCACAGGAAAGTCATGTTTGATGCCTGTATTAACCACACGGAGTACCTTTTCTAGCCAGCCATTCATCTGCTACTTAACACAGATCTCTCCCGCAACTAAAGGTACAGAGAAGGGGCACTCTCCACCTCTTTGGTTGGTTCTGAGCTCTAGTAGGACAATGGCAACCAATCTTGAAGCTTCAGCACCCTCCATCCAGTACACGTGCAGTGGAGCTGTGCATCACACTGATGCCCCAACCATCTACAACCTCCCTTCAGTTCCGTGCCCTCTCTTCCATTCTCCCAAACCTGTGCCACCAAACCCCTGGTTTCCCAGTACCTTCACACCCAGTCAGTGATGTGCAGGGAAAGGCCCCACCACCTGCTCTGTAGGCATGCCCACACTCCTGTGTTCCTTACACAACACTAACACAGAAGAAATGAGGTAACTGAAAAGTAACCAATCCTCTTCAGCATAAGAGTCCACCAAGCCAACTGAGTTTTGCAAAAATGAGTTTGTTTTTTGTTGTCAGGGACACACTGTAGACCAGGCTGGCCCCAAACTCAGCCAACATTACAGATGATTTGATAGTATGTGCATATAACTGAATTGTCGATAATTTGAGTATTTAGTCAGCAAGCAAAACTCTCAAGTTTAGCCGTCAGTTCTTGGGAAGGTGCGTAGATTCCAATAGCCCACAGTGACCCTAACTTGAGTTTCTCTCTTTTCCTGCTCTCTACCATATTGAAAGAGGGAGCACAGGGATGGAGATCCAGAGCCAACATTAGTCTAGGCAAGGCTAAGGAAGACGGCATTCGAAGGGTCACAGGACTGGCCCATGGCGAGTAGCCTTTTGGAAAACAAATACCAGCACTTCATAATTGGGATGTGACAGATTTATAACTCCTAGCCGGTACTTCTGCAGTCCTCAAGACAACAGAAGATTATTAAACTGTCCTAGAGTATGGGCCTGGCAAATCGCACAACCTCTTGCTTAAGATGGGAGGCAGCAAATGAGAACACAGAAAACACTGGACATGAACCAACAAACCGGCCAACTTTCCAACCTATAACGTGGCGAGATGCAGACCATCCCAGGGGCCCCCTAAAGAAATAAATCTCTGGAAGTCTACCATGACCTAAGATAAAAAAAAAAAAAAAAAACAACTGGCATGTAGTCTTTTCTCCCTGACACAGGAAGTCTCTGGAAGACATTACCTCATTCTTTAATCCTGACATCAAACCTGAGGCAGGTAACCTAGCTGAAGGAAATCACCACCCAAGTATTTTGTTATTGTTGTTTTTTAATGCAGATGCTCCAGTGTTTCCAGAGTAATGGGCATCTCTGGTATATCTGAAGCCAAGGACTGAAGTGCAAATAGACCTCTGTCTCAATCCATCACTCAGAAAACTCTGGTTTAAGATGATCATTTAAAAAATAAAAATAAAAAAGCACACTCTGAACAGCTGGCTCAACTAAGGTCAACTCATTTATGCAGACATTTCAGTAAATTAACACGAACAGAGAAGCACCAGGAACTCTAAGAGCCCAACACAGCATCTCTTTACACAGGGATGGTTAATTTCCATCTGTGTTTGGGTGCAGTTCAGATCACTTAGGATTGGCTGTGAGTAGAATTCAGTGTAGAGCTCTTCTTGCCTGAGACGTACAAGGCCCCGGGTAGAGTTCTGTCCTCTGTCCTTCTGTACACAAGAATGCTTGCACATTTACAATCGACTAAGATGGGTGAAGCAGACCTTTCTGGCTATGTCTGCAAGAGAAATCACAGAGGAGTAACAGGAAGAGGACTGCTCTGAATACACAGTACCTTCTCATGAGTAGGGGTCCAGAATATATAAAAGGGAAAGAAGGGAAAGCCAGCAGCAGCAACCACTCTTCCCCTAAGTCTTACTCATCATACTTCGCTTGCCAGGATAAGCAAAGAATTTTCTGAAACTGGTGAGCCAAAATCTTGTCATTTTACTTCAGCAACCAAATTTTTGAATAATTTTATACTCTTTTGTAAGTGCTGGTACAGGAGGGCATACCTGCAACCCCGACACGCAGGACAATCACTGCTTCTAAGCTAGCTTGTGCTATATAACAAGACTCTCAAATTGCAGACAAGCCTGTTGCAAAGCCGCCAGCTTTCATCCTGGATTCTGCAAATCTATTCCTTCAGTTGGTGGTTTCCAGTACACTCAAGACTTTCATTTCTGGGGCATGTGAACACTGTAAACATGTTAACAGCCTGAAATTGTCTTTGGTAGGAATATTTGAGGGCAGCCTTAACTTCTCAGCATGAACTTCCTCAGGTGCCAGCACAGATCCTCTCAGCTGACTGAAACTGAAAGCCCACCAGGCATGAGGGCACACATTTGTAATCTCAGCATCCAGGCCAGAAGGTTCTAGGACTGTGTAGTCACAGTAAGATCCAGGTCTCCAAACTCCTAGACATGCCCCACTGCAGTCAAAGGATCCTTGGTCCTACTGCTCCTGTCTTGGTGGCTCTCTTTAATGCCTGGTTTCCTCATGTGCTATCTTCTCCCTTTCCTTCTTCACCCATTTCCCAGTTCTCGAACTTGAAAGCCTCCTTAAGCCCATGCATACACATTATCACCAAAGCCCCCTATCCTTTATAGGCCAATAGGCCTGTCCTGGGCACTGTTAAATGATGGAAGGTTTAATGTGTATGGGACACTATGCGCTTATTTGTGCTTAATACAGATGTTGGGTCAGCTTTCTGACCTAATCCAACCTATCAACTCCTGTACGATGAACTAGTTCCATCAGTGACAGGTCATTTCAGCTACGGAGAAACAGTAGCCAAGACAAAGTCTGTAGGGTAGCCGTGCCCAAGTTCAGAAGCAACCCTAGGTACACCTGTATAGACAGACTGTACCATCATCTCTAGCCCACAGCAGGACCCAAATGCTGTTGAAAATCTGTCTTCTTATTATCAAGAAATGTCCCCTTGATGGCTGGTCTCAATGTTACAAGGAGCCAGCAGATTTGAGTTCTGCTAGTATTTACAGATCAAGTTCTACATTTGGACCATATCAAAAGCTTTCAAAACTCATGTGTGCATGAGCCTCAGGGTTTAGTTAGTTGTTGTTTGGTATTGGGTTTTATGTAGTGAGCTTTTAGCTACCACATCTTAAAAGGTTCTGCTGTAAGAGATGAGAGGACACCCCAAACTGACTGACATTTTGTTGTCTAAACATAAAAGAATTCCCCATTTCTTTGTTACATTAACTGATCCATTTGCTTGTCTAGTAGGGGGCCATCATGTCTGCACATAACCTAGTGTTTACTCTAACCAGGACTCCATTCTTCCCCAACCCCAAGTTATCTCTAGTCTGTTATTAAGCAGGGTTTCATATGCTTACAATCTGGCCGAAGTCAGATTCCAGATATTCCAAGAAACAAAAACTATAGGCTGTTTTTTGAGTTAAGATCTATGTACTCTTGGTTATCGTGGAACATGTCGTGTAGGCCAGGCTGGCCTCTAACTCTGAGGGAATCTGTCTCCAACTCCCAAGTGCTGGGGCTAAAGGCATAGGTCACCATGCCGGACTCTAGACCAGTGGTTCTCAACCTTCCTAATGTGGAGACCCTTTAACAGAGTTCCTCCTGTGTGGCGAGCCCCTACCATAATTTTTGTTGCTACTTTGTAACTGTAAGTTATCTGATAGTCAGGATATCTAGTATGCAACCTCTGTGAATGGGTCATTTGACCCACCCAAGTGGTCCTGACCCACAGGCTGAGAACCACTGTTCTAGACTAATTTCAGATTGCACTTCTTCACATTAGGGCCCATGGTTTGAGCCTTCTTTCCTCCAAAGGAAATGCCAGAGCTCAGTACACCATCAACAGTGGGGTTGACTGACAGGGTCTATCTCAATTGCTTGATACCGGAACAAAAGCTTACTTGCTCAAGAGTTTGAACACTAAGGAAAGAAACACACCAAGCCACTTAAAGGTAATTTATGTACATTTATGGCTTTATACAATTATAGTAAAGGTTGTTCTTGTATCTGTAAGTACAACATCATCATCAGGCACTTCTCAGTATTGGAACAGGAGCATGAAATTTGCACTGTTACTCAACTCAGGTGGTAGAGTATGTGGGAGGGCGTGTCTCCATCCTGATGGGACTTACAAGGCTATCACTGGCCACAATGCCAGGCTGTTTTGTTTGCATAAACCACAATGCACATTATGCTGAATGATCACTCCCCAGTTGAAACCACAGAGAAACATTTCACTTAAAATCAGTAACTTTTAAGAGCTGAAACTAAGAACTTCGAAGTTGGGGGGAGGGGCAGAGAGGAAGGAGCGTCATATTCAGTGGTTGAACAAGTTCAAATTGTATGCCTTTGGGAAAACTTTTGCATTTTAAGTGTCTTTATCCTCTTATTGTTATGTTCCAGGATTTACTGCTCACCAGGATGTGGTATTTGCTAATTAACTTAGATTCAGTCAGTTTGTCCAAGCAGAACTTCCCAAGTCATATATCACCTAAATATATTCCATACATCTATATTATGGAAACAAATACATCTTTATATTTAAAATATCCGAATAGCTCTATAATACAATGCACTTTTAATAACAGTACAAACCAGAAGAAATAAATCAAACAAGGCTGCATAGGTGAAGTCTTCTCACAAAGCAATCATGTACAATAATATACCAGATACTCCAGAAACTGAACATTTTCACAAAAAAGAACTCCCGGGGGCCATAAGATGTTTACTTTCAAAACAGACAAGAAGCGTTTCCTGGACTTCACTGTGCCCCAGGCAACTAGCCATGATTCACGTTATGATCTTAACGCTAAGAAAAATGGGGGTTGCTGTTGAGATTTACAGAAGGAAGACACACCTCAGGTCCCTCAGTGATGTTCTGCAAGTCTACCTACCACCAATTATAGCTGTAGCTGCCTCTGTGTTGAATGATTAGGGGGCTTTTCTGCAATGGTGAAGAAATGGTTTATGAAAGAAGAGAGAGCACAGTTCTTTGACAGCAGTAAGTTTTACTCCATTTGTAGGAGGCTCTGCTTGGAGGAACTTAGTTGTAAACTAAGGCCTGTTTTGGAGTGCCCAAACAAGGGATGATCATGGGGGCAGTGGCTCCATACATGTTTGAAATAGGGAAAGTCACAGTAGGAAGCTTGTGACAAAGCTGGCCAACTGTGAAAATCAGGTACGTTTTATTCTTGTTAACACGCGCGTGCGTGCGTACGTACGTACGTACGTGTACACACACACACACACACTACAACGGGAGAGATGAGAAACTTACTAAAACCAGCAAGTGCAATTTGGGCTTGTACATGAAAACCAGGCCTTCTCAAGAGGGCAAACCAAAGATGACGCTGTTGTACTCCTATTCTTCCAACTGTGGTGGCTCCAGACACTCAACAGGAGTCAGAAATGCGGATGGACGGAATGGGAGGCAAAACCAATTATCCCGGTCTGTCCGTTTCAGGTAACAAGAAAGTATAAAAACAATGTTTGGGATACAGGTTAGGCTGCTCAGGACTAAAAAAACTCTCAAATTTCAAGCTAAGGATTTCAAAACAAATGTACACTTATACTTGGTTGTTTTTCAAGTTTACTGTCCCAATTTTGAACTAGTTCTATTTGGTTCTATGTGGTAGCCACTATCTGTACATACAAAGCACTCCATAAATCACTTAAGTCCTATCTGTAAACTTCCTCCTTAGATTTACACTGTTCAGAGCCAAAGAGACAGATGATGAGACTGGAAAGTGACAAGATTCTTCAGGACACAGCCATAAAACCATCTTCATCCTGGACAAAATAAGAGCTCAAAATATAAGGAAAACCCCAGTTAGACAAACATTTTAGATGAAGTTCTCCTTTCCTGAGCTATGGGAACTGTGACAACATGGCATTGGGCATCATTTGGCTGGGCCTCCCCATAGAAACTGTGGCAATGTGACACAGGGCATCTGTCTGGAGGGGTCTCCCCAGAGGAGCTGTAAGAACTCAACACGGGGAAATCTATATGAAGACTTGATGCTATGCACGACACACAAATCACAGGGTAATAGAAGCAGGTGAAATTTCTTTAAAATACACACATAAAAACATATTAAATCTACATACAAAACACAAAGTGTCTGTAACTATACATCAGTTTCCTGCCTAACGGCCAGAAATGTTGAGTATGCAAGTACTAATTTAATTACAATGATTTAAGATTAGTCAGAAACATCATCAGGTAGCATCCCAAAGTGTACAAACCAGGTAAGCACGTATAAAATTAGTACTAATCCAGTTAGAAATACAAAATGACCATTATGAATGCTGCCCCCAAATACCTCAGATTCCACAAATTTACAAGCAGACAATGTAACAAAGTAGACTCTAGTTTTAAGAAAACATTACAGTTCAGTATCTATTCCAAAAATGATCGAGTCCTAACATTAACATCAAAAGTCATTTATCCAGAAATTAGAACCATTTTAAGGTGTTTGTACAAATCTGCAAATAACAAAATAAACAACAACAAAAATAATAGAAAAGACCTGTACAAAGCTGGCACTTAATCTTACTCTGCCCCAAAGTTTGATGAGTCCATTATTTCAGCAGATTGATCACAGGCTACTTGGTTTTCATACAAATCCTGTGGCAAGATGAGAAGATTCAAAGTCATTCAGCAGGAGTGCAGAATGGAGATCTTAGCTCATGATTCATCACTTTAGCAGAACACAGGTAGTACAAAGTAAAGTTTATCAAGACATGAGACCATCACAGTATTACAAAAGAGTATAAACTTTCCTTGGACCAAGTAGATATTAAAAACACACACACAAGTACAATTCTGTATCTACTGTATATATACAAAACTTGAAAGCACACCAGGATCTGAAAGTCTTTTCTGCAGTTAGATGGTGCGGTGAGTTTGGCACTTCATTGCAATGACTCCCAATGGCACAGCGGTCCTTATCTACAGGAGCACAGAACCTGTGAGCGCTGGGCAAACATCCTGTGCAGGAAAGTGCTTCTGCTGCCAAGTCTGACGAAAGGAGAAAAGGAAGGATTTTTTTTTTTTAATCAAGAAAACTAAAAGGAGGGGTGAAGGGCATCTTTGGACTGCTTCTCAGTTCCTGTTGTCAGACAGTCTGAAGTACTTTTAAATGTAGCCTAAAGGGGGAAAAACACACACAATGAAAATGCAGTTCAAGTCAATTCAATTGTACTTAACCAACTTGGGGGCAGGGTAAGCTACAACTTTCTCAAACAGCTCCAAAATCATTCTGTGGGGAAAATTCTTTATTGAAATAAAATGTGGAGATGGGGGGGGGAGGGACCTTTGACATCTGATTTGTATCAAATGTGTTCATTTATTCAAGAGCAGGTAGAAAGGACATACCTTACAGTGAACAGAAAGTCTTAAAAGCTGTTAAGGAATCTGCACTCTGTTTTAACCTCAAAAGGCAAACTGATAAACTGGGGTGGAGAGTGAGCAGTGACAGGTGTTTTTCTGCAACAGTTAGGTGACCTTAGAACTAGGCCTAACATGACCCCGGGCGCAGCTCTGCCAGTGAGTTGTCCCGGGAGAGGTCCAAGCACATCAGCCACGTGTGGGATGCTGGCTATGTAAGAGCCTGTCTTTAATCAAGTTTTTAAATGTCTAACCATCAAGATACATGGCACTGCCTCTCTTTTTCAAAAGGCCTTGTGATACAGGAGTGAAGGAACTTACCTGCTCACTAACTCCTAGCCTGACACCCAGCTATGTGTCGTAGTCTTGACACTGTGTGGAAAGCTTTGGTTGGGCAACACATTATCAAAGTTAAAATCCAAGGTATCTCCATCCATTAGGTCATTCCGGATGATGGATTCCATGTCACAGTCCAGGCGCTCAATGAGCATGCCGTCTAAGTCACTCGGGAGCTTCTCCTGGTGGAGGACACCCATCCTACCATAGCCATTGCAGCTGCTCACAGAGGAGTAGCTGCCCAGGGCACTCATCTGCATGGGGTGGGGCAGAGGCACTTGTAAAGGAGTCTTCACTGGGGTCAAGCGGGTCATGGCAGATGTGTGAGGCATGGTGTTCACCACATGGGGCAGGGCCCGTCCATTGACTGAAGACGTTTGTTGTGCATGTCCAGGGTGGGCATGGGAACTGGGGTTCATCATTTTGTTATGAGATGCCTGGCTGCCATAGGCTGGCATGACTGAATTAGGGCCCATCATTACATTCTGGCCCAGGACCCGACTGTTGGTTTGGGCCACTCCAGGATCAACTGGTGACATAATGTCATTGTGGGGGGGAGAGTCAGAAGTCAGCAACTCTTTCAAGAGTCCTGGGGCACAGTTATACTGGTTCAATCCTCCATAACTCGATTTGCCATCCTGAAGTGTCTGCATAGGCATCTGGGGCAAAGGGCTCATGCTGGATTGGCCATATGTGTACTTTGAATAGTTTGGGCTGGGTGAATTCAGACTGGTGTTTGGAGGTGCAAACGAGTAACAGGGTGTCTGTTGCATCATGCTTCCAGGCGAGGACTGGGTTGATACAGTTAAAGATGTTGGGGATGAGAGAAGATTGAGATTATCCAAAAGGTTTTCCATGTTTTCCGGATTGCTGATTTCAGACAGACTGGGCAGGGTGGAAGCCATCTTGGTAGCAGAAGGAGGATATACCAGAGAGTGCACATCCCCATCCCCCAGGTCATCCTGTTCTGTCATGATGGGAGAAAGTCTCCCACTGATGGTACTAGCATTTGAGCTGGTTCGAGGACGAAAGGTACTCCAGTTATCAAAGTCATCGTTGCTGTGGGACCCAGGGCTTGCAGGCCACTTTGAAAACTGAGACCCAGGGCTGTCCCCAGGACCCTCTTGCCCAGACTGGAGAGATGCTTTTTTCTTGGCAGCTCGTCCTCGGCTCTTAGCAAATTTACTGTTGTTGTCCATGGATGCAGCTCTTCTCCGAGGGGATTTCCCACTCTTGCCTCCCTCTGGATTGAGCATCCACCAAGAACTTTTTCCAGTTCCTTCATTCTGTACTCGAATAAACTTGCTATGCAGGGACAGATTATGGCGGATTGAGTTCTGTAAAGCAAAACAGTATGTTAGAAGCATGGTACTTCCTGCTTGGAAAGCTTACTGTTCAGCATGGACCATAGAGATACAGTTTCCAATACAGCCTGACAGTTCTTTGTGTGGAGAGCAAATACAACACAGTACTTATGCCACAGCACAGATGTGGAAGTCAGAAGACAACTTGATGGAATCAGTCTCTTGCACTTTTATATGGGTTCTGAGGATCAAACTTGTACAGCAAAAGCTATCCCGCTGGCTCCAAACAGTACAATAAACTCACTATAAAAGATCTCAAATTGGTGTAGGAAAAATAGCATTAAAAAAAAAAAGTCACCTACTTCTCTCTAACTAAATAACCACAACTGCTTAAGTATTTTTTTCAGGTTTTTTTTTTTAGATTTATTTATTTTTATGCACATAAATATTTTGTCTGCTTTTTTTTAACGTATGTGTGCCATGTGCATGCCTATTGGTCGAGGATGTCAGAGGATAGCATCAAATCCTCTGGAACTGGATTTACAGATGTGAGCTGCCACGTGGGTGCTGGGATTTGAACCTGGGTCCTCTGCAAGAGCAGCCAGTGCTCTTAACTGCAGCGCCATCTCCTCAGCTCCTATAAGTATTCTTTTACACATGCATACATACATATTTTTTCATACAGCTATATCTCTTGTATAGTTTTGACCCTGTCTCAAAAACAAAGCCCTTTCCAATTTTTTTTCAGGTGAAATAATCACTATTTCCACAAAATGAGACATTCTATGTCACTGGCCCACAGGATCACAGAAAAGGGAGATGAAGCAGCATCAATCCCCTACTCAGGAACAACCCGAGCTCCCCATCTCCCAAACCCCAAGCATTATGCAGCATTATTGATTTGTAATCTCAACAAGTGGGAAGAAAAGGCAGGATTGTTAGTCTGAGGCCAATTTGAGCTAAAACAGACAACAAATCAACAAATGGAACCCCCATAGTTACAACCTAAATTCAATTTGTAACAGGCCAAAACCAAAAACAAACAAACCGGCAAACCAAACCAAAAAAAAAAAAAAAAAAAAAGAAACAAACAAATAGAAAAACCTGGTTTTTCTTTAAGAAAGTTAACTTGCCATAAAATGCAACATTTAAATTCAAGAACTCAGACCCACTAACCTCAGGACACTGTAAAGGAGAGAGAACTAAGTTATGCTCTTATGCTCCTTCACTGTGTGCAAACTGCAACTGTATGGGCCAGTCCCTTATTCCTTAAAACAAGGAAACCCCAGTGCTATTTTGGGGGAGCCTGGGGTACAAATCTGGGAACGTGAAAAACACTCAGCCAAGAAGGCACCTTGTCTTAGACTTTCCGGCTCAGCACAGTTGCTACCTATTCATCCAGGAGCTCTGCAGGGACCTAATGCAAGTCTAGGAACAGTATTCCGGCTAGCTCATAATCCTCAGAGCAGAGCTATGCACATGGCTCCTCCACTTTTTGGCCTTCTCTGCCAACTGAGTGCAAGGCTTAGCTGCCCAAATACTCGGTGGCCCCTCTTGGACCACAAACAGACTGTAGCTAGATTTGTGGTCACCCAAGGAGGCAGCCACAATGCCCACATCCTCATGTTGTTGACAAGGAATGAAGGTGCTCAAAGTGCCAACCACTGTACCAGAGCAGACTAACACAGGGTCAGACTTCCATATGACCCTGAGAGCATTCATGTCTTTTCTCAACAAGGGATGGAAAACAAAGTGAGTGTAATAGTAATCTCACTTTCTAAAAAGAAACAAAAGTCTGAGAGACCCAAGAGAACGTAGAAACCCACATTTAAAAATGCATTGTGTGCTACCTTCTGCCCGAGGATTGCAACACAACAGCTATGTGTCAAGTCCTTTGCAAGGATGCATGGTGAGGGTGGGTCAGACATGGCCCAACAGGCGCTTTCTGGTTGGACGCCAGGCAGGTATGTGGGTATGCGGCACTGCTAAGTCTCTCTTACTTACTACATCTATCTCAACTCTAGGCATGTTAGGCTGGGGCAGGCCTTGAACTCCAAATATTTCCCAAAGAGGTTACACACACTTCTTTTGTGTTGTATCTCAATCCCGTATTTTCAAAATCTGCTGTCCCCATTTCCCTGCTACCCCCATGACTCAGAGCTACAGCTTTGGTTGCCATGTCTACCAACATCAGTGACCAAAATTCCCAATTCCTCCTTAAAAGCTGAAGCCTGTCTGGGATGGGCTGGAGAACAGGCAGCCCTGTAACTGCATTCTGCAATGACATGTACATGCTGGAAGTCTGGGCATTTGCACAATATTCCATCATGACAATTTTGTTCTTTGAACACAATAGACATAGAGATAAGCTCTGATAAAAGCTCTAGAAGAGAGGAAGCTTGACTCCTGTCCTGTCACATTTATTTAATAATGAAGGGAGTCTGGGGGAGGAGATCTTCCCAGAGATCAGTTTCCTGGCTGTCTGAAACAGGGGAAGGGGTGCAGTTCTTACGCTCAACACAGCAAGTACAGATGGGGGAGGGGCATTTTCAACAGGGCTGAAAAAGGCAGAATAATGAAATCTTTGAATAAGTTTATAAACAGTTCACTAACTTCAGGGTTAGTAGCTACTAACTTCATGGGCTTCTTTTTCTTTCTTTCTTTCTTTCTTTCTTTCTTTCTTTCTTTCTTTTGCCACAGCAATCCTTTACTTATCAAAATATCACACTACATATTTTTCTGAGGACATTTCAGGTCACTCTGAGTAACAGAGCTGTATGCTTACTTTGCCAACAATCTACCCGACCCCCCCCCCCACAGGAAAAAGTTTGCTGTGCAGGGCTTGTTACATAAATCCCTGTTTTTCATGCAGCCAGTGGGACACTAAAGAAGGAGCAGCAGGGTTGGGAGGTGCTATGTCCACATTCTCTGCCAAGAGCTGCCTGCAACTGTGAGCTCCGAGATACTGTGCTTCGCCATTGTCTCCCAACAGCACGGCCAGACACCACGGTTTGCACTACTACAAGGATTCACGTTATTTACTGGAAATAGCAACTGGTTTCGAGGAAGGTTATGGTGGTTTCTCAACACACACATTGTCTCAGGACCGAATTCAAGTCCCTCAGTCAGTTTTCCACAGTATTTGCCGGCCAGAGCAGAGTTGCTCCAGTGACTGTAGTTAGGCATCCCCTCTGGGACTGTTCTGACTGAGATCTACTGTCCTATGGTGGAAAAGCTAGGCAGTAGGAGAAGGGGTCCCTGGAGACAGAGGCAGGGTCATTTTGTTCCCTGTTACTCCAACCAAACCCTCTTATCCTGCAGTCTAAAGCACCCAGCAGGCAGTCACTGAAGTACAGAAAAAAACTTTTAACTCTTGTACTTATTTTGAAGTTATAAACCTCACAAAAAACCTATGTCCAACAATGTGCTTACAGAATGCACACAATACATCTGACTGCATGAACAACTTGAAACCCTGTCAAAAAGGGTATGCCACTTAAAAACAAAACATTGAGAGCCCACTCACCCGTCACAGCAGACTTCTAGGAATGCTGAATCTCCAATAAAGATCAGAGGTGAGTCAGTTAAACCTAGAAAAGCTCTCACCACCCTAGTCTGTGCTGAGAAAACTACTCTGCCTTTGAGTACTAGTTTCAGCTGCTGTCACTCCTGGAGGATCTGGTGCTTCCTAGGTATCTCTCTTTACCCCAATTTCCAACTCCCTGGCTCCCAGTATCTTGGTGTCTAACTGGAGCCACACTTGAGCTTGTTTTTCAGACTATGTGAAGGCCATTACCTGCTAGTCAGGGTCTTTTTACATTTCTTATTTCTTTCTATTTTTCTACTCTAAGTATCCTGGTCTTTCTTTTCAACCAAGAATAAATAATGCATTTACGCTGAATGCATCTGGCTCATGAAATCCTGGCCTGTGTATCTTACACATGGCTCTTACTTTATAGTTGACTACTGTAGCTAAATCTCATATTCTACTCTGTAACAACCCTACAGGAAGGACTACATAGAGTCAGATGTTATTGGCTCCACTTTAACAATGGGGAACTCAAAGCAAGGCTTTGTGACTGGTGACTTTACAACACTGCTGCAAATTGACAAAAATTACCTCTTTGTATCCACTTGTATCAAGAATCAAAACAACTCACTAAATTTATATGAATATACCTTGGGGGAGTAGAAATAATTCCATTTACTACTTTACAAAACCCATGTTCTGCCTTAATGGCTAATACATGTACACAACATGAATCACTTCCCAGTGGCTCTTCTTTATGACAGAATGTACAGCAGCTGAGTTTCAGGTGTGCACTGTCCCAGGGAAAGCCTGCATAAAGAGGCTACGGGGACTCACAAAACACCAAACGGGCCCCAGAGACCTTCATCTCCCAAGCTGCCACCTGACTGCATGGAGGTGCAGATAACCAACACAAAGAACCTCATGTCTAGACCACACATATGACTAGAAAGTTCCTGGTTGTACAAAGTCTGGAAATTCCTTCAAAAGTGTTGACAAACTAGATGTTTATAAAGTGTTAACTTGTGGACTTTCTCGCTGTGAACGACTGTTCCAGATACCCAGAGTATCGATCCCCTCCTCCTGCTTCCCTTCTTACACTGTCTCTTCCTACACTTTCCCAACTCAAAACAAACTAAAGATTAAAGTAGCAAAAATCACTATTCAATAGAGTTTCCATTTGAACTACTAATAAAATGACTCAAAATAGTCCACTGTGCTGGTAAATGAGAAATTATGTGGCACTTACTCAACAGCCTGTAGGTGTGCGATTAGAGAAGTTGCCAATAGTATGCACAGATTTTGACTTAAAAACATGATGTAACAGAAGACTTGCTGTGGACAGTTATTTCATGCCTGCCCATGGATGATTTTATTCTCCAGAGCCCTACCTTCACCTGAATACCTCTTAAACCACGATCCGTCTACAAATAAGGTCTTAGCACTTCTCTGCTGATCCCAGAGGGTTAGACTCATGGTCCTAAAAGCTCTAACACACAGCAAG